AACTCATCAGTGAGGACGCTGAGGGAAGCAGAAGGTGAGTAGTGAAGCCCACAGGTGGCCCGGAGCCTTTGCAGTGACCAGAGTCAGAGTCAAGCTGCTTTCCTCCGGGCTGTCCCCACCTCAGGCTCGCAGGACGGCAGCCAAGTCAAACAGCACTGTGCACACTGTGAGCGGCTGTTGCTTCAGGCTCTCTCCGGGACGGCTCCATCGGGATCTGCAGGTCAGATGCTCACCCCTGTCATCAGGAGGCCCTGCACCTGTATGGCTATAATGTGCCTGCTGAGCAACCAACCACTTTGGTCTCAAAAAAGCTCCTGGGTTTGCATTTCTTTAGAGCATAGAACACTCTCTGAGTGCATGTTGTCAGGACCTCGCCAAACCTAAACATTTGTTTTGGCACCAGGCCATCCAAACACAAGGACTTGGTGTTGTCTGTGGCTGACAGGCGTAGAAGAGTCCCAAAAGCCGAAATTCAGTGAGATCATAAATACTGCTAGGTAGACAGTTGAAGGTGAAGATTAAAATCAGAGGGGAATTGCTTAAATCCAAGAAGTCAGAAAAAAGCAAACTGATTTCCCAGCATCCTAGGATTTGCACTGTACCTTAGTATCAGCTTTCTTTTATTGTGTGGCAGCTGTGGGCCAGTTGCTTGTGTATTTTCCTCCTAAATTCTGACAACGACTGATTCATGTTCTTCTCATATTCATTTTACTGGTGCACACTCCGAGGCTCATATGGAGTAGGTGACCTAGCGAAAGATCACAGAGTGGACGTGCAAAGCGAGAATTCAAATCAAGGATGGTTTAATTTTTTAAAAAGCTCAAGTTGCCTTTACTATACTATGCTAGGAAACCACGGTAAGTAGGGAAGAAATTAAATACTTTCATGAGATAAGAGGCTTAACAAAAATTAACTGACCAGTGGATTTGTCCTTTGGAAGTCTACAAGCAAGGCACAAGTTCACTGAGACTATGCTTTGTCCAAAGGGGATTGCTCACCAGGATACCCCTTCTTGGTGCCTTCTCCTTACTGTTACTTCTGCAGGCAATACCCTTCTGGCTTCTTACTGTTGAATTCCTCACTGCCATTCATTGTCCTACATTCAAGAAAGGTTAGTGAACTCTCCAGATTCACATAAAGAACAAAATACTTGGTTTTATAAGTACGAGTTGAAATGAAGTTTTGCGTGTTCTGCCTCTAAAGATTCTTATTCTTTAGGGCTGGAAATATCACTTTTATTAAGCATTTAGAGGTCTCTGATACAGAAGAGACATAGCCGTGGGGAGCAGGCCAAGATTTATGCATTTTCTCTCTTCACAAACTTTACAGATCTTACCAGTGTTGTACTGGTAAATGAGGTTTAGTTTCACTTCTTTCAGCTCCATGTGAGGATTTTCTTCTTGTCAATTTTTGTGTGTGTGTGTGTAAATATTTTGATATATTTTCCTTTTTAAATTTTTTTCCTTTTAATAACTTTTATATATAAATCATACATATGTATGTGCTACCATACTGGTATACATTGTATAAAGTTTAAATCAGATGAAACATATCTATCTCCTCAGACATTCATCATTTCTTTATAATGAAAATATTCAAAATTCTAGAGAAAGCTTTTGGGAATAGGCTATGCATAATTGGTACCCACAGACACTATTTTGTAATAGCATACCTGAACCGTTTCTTATTTTTTATTTATTCTAGTGTCAGACTTAGTTGGGCCTTAACAAATGTTTATTGGCCTAACTTACTACCATGCTTTTCATATTGGGTAATGCTACCATGTTTTTCATTAAACAGAGCAATATTTCAGGAATGACTGATTTCATGCCCTTCCTCCTTGTATCAGGCAAACTTGGGAAAGGATGGGTGAGGGAATAGACATTGGAGAGATGGTAATGCAGGCATGTGGGAAGGAAGTGTCAGGGGGGTGCTGGACCCAAAATGGGGTCCAAGAAATCAACTTATCCCTTGGGAGTTGAATAAGGCAATGACAGAACAGCTGTGGTATTCTGAAAGAAACTGGGACAGGCTGCATGGTGGAGGTCTCAGGCTTTTCTTTCACTGCCATCTGACTTTTGAAGCTAGGTTTTCTATTCTGAATGGCTCAGGAACCAGTCCACATAGAGAAGGGAGACTGAACTGCCACGTTTCCTAAGTGCCCCTTCGAATCATAACTGGATGAAATGCAATGAGTTAGGTCTCTTGAATGTTTATCCATCAATAGTTCAGCATAAATTAATATGCCTACAATAAGACAAACCATGTTTCCCCCCCAGTCTGCAGCCTCTTGAAATTTATATGCATGCAAATTTCCTAAATTCAAAGTCCATAGGGAAATCAAGGGCTCAACTGAGTAAGATTTGGAAGACTAACACATTCCGGGTCTTGGAATCCAGTGGTCTTTGGAAAGGTGAACCTAAGTCACTAAAGCAGCCTCCTGCACTCTCATCCTCTTTACCTGTAGACCGAATCTATGGACCGTGATTTTTGTGCTTGTTGTATTCACCCACTCAGGGTTAGTCTTCTGTCATCCTGCCCCCCCCCCATTTCCTTCCTGGGAAACCTTCTCCTCTTTGCTGAAACAGCTAGTTGACTCCCTTTGGTGTCCTTCTGCTCACTCTCATCTTTATTCTGAAATGACTCTTCACTTATAAACTTAGAGGACAATTTGAATCCTATTTCTATTCCATAAGAAAATTCCACAAAAAGGGGTTGAATGAGGATATTCTTAAGAATTCATTTGTATTCAGGGAACCAAGACATGCATGACCACTGCTGGGTGGACCAAGAGCATAACTTATTTAGCTAATGCCATCATCACCACACTCCATGTTTCTTAAGCGTTTAACAAAATGGCCATATTTTTGGTGAGCAATTTTGACCATCTCACTGGACAATAGCAATCTCTGTGCAAGAGCTGGGAAACACTGATTTGGACACGTGGGTATTTACAGGTCTTAATATTTACCTTCAGATTCACCCAGATATGCAGGGTGATGCCACAGCTCAATAAATCCTTAATCTTCTACTCATTAAATAAAAGCAAACAAACAGAACTCAGCACCTGTTATGTGCCAGGCATTCTGACAAGTGTGGAGAAATGTGACCTTTGTTCTTAAAGAACTCACAGTTTACTAGGAGCAGCCAAAGTGAAAATGGACAATATGATGAATCCAGGAAATTTCTCCAAAAGGGCTGTTCATAAGGGACCGGGAGAGGCATCCTGAGCACAGACAAGCCGGCTTTCTGACCTTAACTAGGTATTTAACTAATGCATTCCTTCATTCAGTTCATTCACTCACATAATAAAAGGTCACACACCCTTACTACATCCCAGATGTCATCACCAGTGATTCTATAAGGCAGCCATGAGATCTCATCTTTCCCACCTTTGCAATAACTGAGACTCAAAGAAGTCAGCTACTGCATGAGGATTTATTGACTGAAGGCACAGGGAAGCTAGCTCAAATGAGTTTAAAAACTATGGCTATTTATAGTCTCATATACCTACTTCAGAGCTGGAGAAACTTTAGGGTTGCTTGATCGTGTTTTCAGCAATTATTAATAAGGCTTAGTCCACCCAGATCTGCTCTGGTGCCCATGTTGTTACTAACATTGCTCCTGTTTGCATAAAGGTGCCAGCAAAAGGCCTGGCTCTGCCCACTTGTTCACATGCATGGGAGGGGGGAAAGAAAAGAGAGATATTTTAGCTTTCCTAAAAGGGAAGTAACCTCCAGTAACCTCTTCCTCACAATTCATGACCTGAAGTTTGTCCTATGCCCATTATGAATCTGTGCAAAGGAGATGGAGTTACTCCTAGATTAAGGATTCCCCTAATTTAATCCTAGCACAGTTCTCCAACTTGTCCTGTGTCAGAGAAACACCAGAAGGGATGGAAGAGACCATCACAGTGCCCTCCCTAAAGTGGGAAGAAATCACCCTGTCTCAGAGGCACTGTGAGTTCAAACTTGGGAAGTCGCTCTGGTCACATCTAAAGGAAAAAAGAAATAGCTCAGACATGGGAAGAGAAGGTACAGTTTCAGAATCTGGAAAAAAAGAAACAATGTGGCAGAAAATGAGGAATGAGAATTTGAAGACGTCTGTGTGTGCACCTGGAGAACTGAAGTGAGTTCAGAGAAGCCTCATCTCAGATAATCACAGCTTTCAGGGTGAGGAATTAGGGAAGGAAGAGCAAGCTAAGCCCCAAACAAATAAGGAGACGAGATAAAAGTAGACTGCACATGAATGAAACAGGCAATAGAAATAGTATTGAAGTAGTATTGGGAGACTGTAGAATAGTGGTAGAGATAACAGAATAATAGTAGAGAAAGCAAATGAACATAAAAGCTGACTAGTAGAAAAGGTCAACAAAATTAACAAAATTTAAGCTAAACTAACTAAAAATTAGACAGGAAACTTGAATTACTAAATTAGAAAGGAAAGAAATGACTACCACTAAACTCACAAAACTAAACTATGTTCTGAGAATACAACAGACAGCTCTATGGTATCAGCTCACATGAAACACACAGATTCCTAGGAAGGTGAAAACAACCCAAACTCAAGCTGAAACAGAGCATCTGAAGAAATAAAACACAAATACATCGAATTGTAAAACAAGCTAACAAAACTTTCCCCCCATAAAAGTCCAGGCCCAGATAATTCTACTGGTGACTTGTGCCAGATAAACAAACCCTTCACAAACTCTTCCAAAAATACAGGAAAGGAAGGAACACTCAGGATATTATGTGAGACCAGACTTATCCTGTTAAGAAAACTGAAGAAAGATATCACAAGAAAAGAAAAATGAGGTCTAACACAGTTTATAACTACAGAGGCAAAAATGTTCAATAAAATATGAGTTTAGAAATAAACTCAAACATATACCACCATGTACACTTTATTCCAAGAATGCAAAGTTTGTTGAACATTCAAAAATCAATTAGTGGACTGAGGCTGGAGAAAAATGCCAGAGCGGTGAGTGTCAGCAACTCAGCTTCTCCAGGACAAAGAGCCAAGAGTCTGGAAAGCAAAGTCCAGAGTGGAACCAATGTGAGTGGAGGGCACACAGGAACCATGAGGGAACTGACAGAGAAGAAGAAGGAAATAGCACTCAGTTCTACAGAAGAAACAGCTCTCCGGAGACCAGGTGGTGTGGCAGAGTGGCTGTGTAGCTGCCCTGGCAAGGAGGCAAGAAAACAACTTTATTGCCCACCTTGAGATGGAGACCTGACCTGGACTGGGAGAATACTATGCAGGTGGAGGGAGCAATAAGAATACAAGACATTGTTTCCTGAGTGGCCATCAGAGTCAACAGTTGGTGAGTGAGCAACACACTCATTTGCAGCACACAGTTGGGTGGATAGGCTGTGGGTGGGTGGGTTCACCAATTTATTCAAAAGGCTCAGAGCTGGAACTCTGGGAGCAGAACAGCCCCAGGGTTGCTGTACTGCCAGCGTCCCAGAGTGGAAGGAGGGAAGGGCCAGCCAGTCACAGTGGACGGCTGGCAGTAGGACAGCAGGCTGGGGTGAATTCTGCTGAGAGGTAGGGCTAGGACCACCCTGGCTGTGTTCTGGCAGACCCCCAAAACCAGTCTTAACCCCAGCTACAAAGGACTGGAAACATTCCCCTGCTCTGCAACCAGCAGCGCAAGCAGACAAGCAGTCTTAGCCAGTGGCAGGACAAGGGCATCAGCCCCTGTACTACACCAGCATTTGAGGGCAGTCAGTGGTATGGAACAAAGGAGGCTGTGCCAGGTCCAGGAGGGGTGACCTGTATACTGGACTCAGAGCAGCCTTAGGCTGGCTGCATCTGAGGGTGCCATGGTAACTGGGAGAGGGGGAAAGAGAAAATTACAGTGAGGGGAGGTGGGTGGGCTGCCCTAGGGACATCCAGAAAGCTGCTGGCTGAAGACTGGTCCCAGCCCCCACACCTGGAGACCAAGATCACCCCTGTACCCAGCACCAAGCCTTCTGCAGACTTGGCAGGTTTACACGGGACATTTTTGAGCTCTGACTCAGACACCATCACAGAACTGTGGACACCAGAGGAATTTTATTATTTTTCTTTGCTTGTTTGTTTGTTTGATTCATTTTCCTTTTTCTATCTGGTTGGGGATTTTAAAATATTTTTTAAATTTTTAGATTTTAATCTCAAAACCACTCATACCTAAATCTGAAAATGAGAACTCCCATCTCTGGAACAAATTTACCCTGTG